GAGAAGCTGTCCCCCAACCCGCCCAAACTCACCAAGCAAATGAACACCATCATTGATACAGTGATCAACTACAGAGACGGGTGAGGAGAGCATCCAGAGTTTCTGAAAATCTCGCAAAATGAGCGTGCTGCATGTTTGAGATAACGTATCATACAGTTAATATACCAGCAGTTCATCTTTCCGTTGTGTGAGCATTCAGGAAAAATAGCATCAAACAGGTGATTCACATCAAACAGGCCTTTTGGGATGAATGAAACGAGCCTAATAATTGGCTGGATGATGTATATAATAGCTGATCTGATTAGACACTCCAGTAAGTTCAGTGTTATTTCCATAGCATACAACATATGGAAGCGAACACGTTATAAAGTTGAGTAGAACATTAGCTAAAAGCTCCTGTGTTTATAGAGGAATGCCTTATTTTTCATTTCACACCAACAGCATTAAAGCTGTTAAAACTTTAACTACAGTTGTACTCTCTCCATTTAGAGCGGGCCTTCTGAAACACTAGACAACCTTCTTATGCATATATTTATTTCTTCAGAGCTGTGCAGCATAATTCATTTAGCTCCGGAGCTGCAAAGAAACACAAGAATGCGCCAGATTACATTTGGCTGTCTGAAAGGTACAAATGCTTATAGCAGTGGAGCAGTGGGCTTATCCTGTGGAGACTCCGAGGAAGGAATAAAATTACTTACGTAGCAGATATAGGAGTAGGACCCTCCAGTCTTGGGGTGACTGGGACTAACGCCTGATTTGTAGCAAAGGAAAGTGTTCCTTTAAGTTCTTTTATCAACAAATTTTAAGGTTTTGTTTTTGTTGTTGTCTTTTGTTTGCAAGCGAGCGAGCTGCTGCTGTCAAACTTAAATCAATAGATTGGCCAACAGATCATCCCGTGGTCATCGATATCCAAACCAAGTCCCTCATAAAGGCGGCAGGGACTGAAGAGCTGATCCAGCATGTGTTAAAAACGTAGCTATCGAGGAGCTCGGTGCTTGATGGTGTCGCCCTCAGTACATGAACTGACCTGAGAAGGTTAACTTGTCGTGATTACAGTAAAATTTACGTTTGCATGCAAAAAGGTGGCGCCGTTTGTGAGAGCGTAGCAAACAGTGGCGTGATTATCCACTGGAAAGTACAGCCTGACGTGAGGTAATGTCTGAGAAACGGGAACCTCGCATTGGTTCTTCCCAACAGGCCAAAGAAAATAAGCGTGCGTCTGATTTGTTGTGTCTGGATACTTTCTCTTTGCCCACATGCAGAGTCACGAGCATGCATCTCGCTGTGACGTCCACCCACGCGTGACAGAACATGTGCATTTGTGTTCACATTGCTCTAAAGTGCACTGGCTCACTGCTCGGCTGAAGCTTTTCCAGGAAACTGCTACCTGCCGTTCCAGAAGCCGAATTCTTTCCTCTCCCTGTTGATGGTTGTTCTTCCCAGAGCATCTCAGTCACTCTGGCTGCTCTCTCCACACTCGACTGGGGCAGGACTTTGGATCCCGGGGTTACAGTGATGTTTCCTAATAAAACAAAGTGTGACTCCGCATTGCTTAAAGCAGGCGGAGTTCAATCTGTTGCTGAAATGTAATAAATGCTTATCTCCTCAGTGGAGGCAGCAGCAGCATCCAGGAAACAGGTTCAGGCTTGTTTGGCAACACCTGTGGTTTTAAATATGACGTGTCACGCACAGAACAATTGGTTTCTAAATCAATAGTCGTTGATTGAACCGCAGCTCTTTGATGGGAGCCAGCAGTCGAGTGTGTTTCCTAAAGTCTTTGTTGCTGTTGATAGGCGTCATACATCAGAGATATTAAACCCGTCCTGAAGCCTCCATCATCCCTGTGGCTTCAGTTCACACAGCACAGCTCAGCTGTTCTGCTGCTTGTGTTAAATAATAATAATAATAATAATAATAAAGTTATCCATTGATTTTGCTGATGTCACACACTGGACAGCTCAAGTTAATCCAAAGTGTTTAAATGTTAATTGTGAGCCGTTTGGATTCAGGCAGCTGAGCGGGAACAGTGGGAACGCTGTCCGAGGATTGATGCTGTGGAACGTCATCTCTTAGTTGCTCGTATTTTTTCCCCTTGAACTCCTAAATTAACGACTGCAGATTTGAGATTTCAGTATTTTTCCTCCTGATTAAGAGCTGGCCTGGTATAAAATGATTGATGAAGCCACAAGGAGATCCTTAAAAATAATCCCACATGTTGAAATGTTTCTGCCAAGTCTCTGCACACAGAAAGAAGGGAAGTCAGTGCTGGCAGAATCTAACAGATAATATTGGACGTTTGAGAGGAAAATGGCCTCTGTGCTTTCTTACAAACGCAGATGAGTTGATCTTAGTGACAGGCACGCTGGGTCCTCCTTATCTCTCTTTTCTATTTTCACAAACTCTGCAGAAACTGCAGGTAAAGACGCCGCCGTCGGTCTTTGTGCACGCCGTTACCGCAGGCTCACTGCTGCAGCTGTGTGTTGGATATCGCTTCAGAAGACTCCACAGATCTAGTTCATAATTATTGCCTTAAATATCATCTAGCAGGAAAATAAGTGGATATATCAGGGTGTAAAGTACTACCGGATACTTTAAATGAGGTTTGATTACTGCTGGCATTTTACTTCCTGTGTTCAGAGACGGCCTCTGTACTCGGGGAAAACAGCTCGTACGTCAGATGGTTTCAGGAGCTAACCTGTTAGCTCTGCGCTTGCTTCGTTTTCCCTCCTGATCTCCAACTTCACTTCTTTCTGACTCTTGGCACTCTGAGATCCTTCCAACTCTTCTTTGCTTTGCTAACTTTAAATTGACCCAAACACTTGTTATTTCTGGCCATTTAATAAAGTAATATTTTAGCATCTGAAGCCCGACTTCTAATCTAAACTGCTTTAAAATGAATTTTGTTCCAGCTCCGTGGTTTTGCTTTGGGGGGAAGCCAAAACCTCTCTGATGGGAAGTAATGTTTCTGTGTTCAGGAAAATAAAAGTCTTTGGTGATTCTTTCTGCAGTAGTCACTTTATCAATCATGTAGTAGAATATAAACCTCTCTGACAGGA